ATTCTGGCAGGTTTTTAACATTAGGGTAAGATGTTTGCATTTGCTCTCACCAGTTCCTCCCCAGTACTTCTTAGTCAGTCCCAAATTACATAGTATAGGGTGACTTCATGCTTGGGGTCAGAAGTTGGAGCTGGGAAGTTACCCAGGATGCTTTGTGGTGCACCCAGGATGACATTCATCCATAGAGCAGTGGTCACTCACAGAGAGAGGACAAGGGATGCGGTCATCACAGAAGACACCCTCTGAAACGTCAGTGGTGTGGGTTCTTTTGGACTCTTCCAGTCACCATGGATGGTCTGCTTAGGATGTGCTTTTGTGTAAAACTTTCCTCATTCAATTATTTCCATCCCTCGCCGTCTCATTTACACACACTTGTCTTGAACTGGCAGCACCTAAGCATAAAAACCATCTCTCAAGGTTTCCTAGGCCCTCGACATGTGGGGCTGAGTAGTAAGAATTCCTGGGAAGTTTCAGTAATTGAGAAAATTACAAGCTATTCTTAGAATGCCTCTAGTCTTCTTTCCCTCCTTACTGATTGTCAGAGGCATCTCAGATGCATGTAGGAAGATGATTAGGCCTGTTCCTGGGTACCAAGTGCAGGACCCTAACATGAGCAGCCAGGTGCAGGGAGAGTCGCCTGGACTTCACCAGGTGCATGCAGGAAGATGATTAGGCCTGTTCATGTGTACCAAGTACAGGACCCTAACATGAGCAGCCAGGTGCAGGGAGAGTCGCCTGGGCTTCACCAGAGGCTCTGTAGATCATAGAGCACTCAGAGCGCCCAGAAGGTCAACAGCATCACACAGAAGGACACACCACACACCAATGGAAGGAATGCGTGTTTGCTTCCCAAACTTATTTCTTGGAAAGTAACTTGCAGAATTTGTGAAAAGTGTCTTAGTTCAAAAACTCACTAGTATTTAATTTGCTTGCAATAATGGTTCACAGTTAGTGGCAGGCGAGGCCACAAAGCAGAAGCAGCTCCAAGTGACACCGACTGGCTCTACGGGGCTGCCCCCCCATCCTCTGCTCGTGGACCCCGAAGAGCGGGAGCCCTGTGTGTCCCTGGCTTTGTCATCTCCTCACCATCAGCAGATTCCTCTTATCCAGTGCCACCTGGATGGTGATTTTCATGCTTTAAGTCTTGCATGAGAATTCTAATTAACTTTCCCCCCTTGATTTCTTTGCTCCTTTTTCTCAGATTTTGGATTTAAAATTTAATTTTTTGAGAAATGCCATGGAAGACTTCCTCCTAGAGTGCTACTCCCACTGTAATGATGGAGCCTTAATGTGGCACTGCCGATTAAGTTGCAAGGAAAGGATCATGAAATCCACTGTCCCACGATGCCGGTGACATCTTCCTGTATATTCTGGCCTCAAGGAAGCTTGTGGTTTGGTACAGGGACACACTCAATCACACAGCCTGACAAAATGTATTTTAATACAATTACAATGACAGGAGCACGAAAAGCTGATGACAGTAGAGATGAGGCTTACTTCCTGGGCAAAAACTTCTCAGGCAATTTATACCAAAGCCCGGTTCCCATGCCCAGAAGAATAGGGGAAGGAGGTTCGTGGTTGGGGCTTTGAAATGAGTGGCATTTTGGAAGCAGAGGTGAAGATCAGGAGGCAGCGTGGCGTGAGCCCCAAGTAGCTCTGCATGCCCTGCACTCCGCGCGCTCCCTGGAGACTCCATGCACGAGGGTGCCACTATGTTCTCCAGAGGAACGGCGCTGTTTGTTTCTGTCCTATCGTCTGACTCATGATGTAGCCGTAAGCCACTCCGTGTCCTAAGCCCAGAATGCAGGAATCCCAGTGCAGCTCTCACATAAAAGTGAATACTTTTTCTTTTCTGGTTTCTATATTTTTATTAGTGGATATTTGTCATACAGATCAATGGGTCATGCTGAAGATTTGTACATGCACAAAACATACTTAAACCACAGTCCCTGAAGGGAAGAATTTTTCACACTGCAGAAGAGCTCTCGCATTCCCTGCAGAGGCCTAGGTACGAGAGCCGAGATACAGCATCAACTCGGCATGCACCGTGTGAGGGCAGAGACAGAGAGCACGTTGTGGGAGCGAGACAGGACTGCAATGTATCATGAGCGTTCCAAATTTAAACCAATTGTTACAGTAAAGATACACTGTATGAATCCACTTGAACGAACATTCTCCCTGCTTCCTGCAGCAGCTCTGGAGTCCTCTTTCCTGCTCATCTTTAGCTGTGCTGTCCTGGCTGCCTCAGTGTCCTGAGTGAACTAAAAAACCTTTACTTTTCACTGTCATTTTGACTTGGGGGAAGAACCAGAAGTTTCACGGTGCCGAGACAGTGCGTAAGGAGGGTGAGAACGCAGCGTCGTGTTCTGCGAGCTGTCTTTCTGTTGGATGGTGCTCGGCAGTAACACTCTCTGCCTTTTTTTTTTTATTGCAGCTGGTCAACGTACTCATAAAGAGGGACCCTAGAGCCACTCAGAAAGTGCCAAGAACAGTGGGCTAGGTTCAAAGGGAGGGGAGGATTTTGAGAGTTGTTTTTGGCAAAGTGTCTTTTGTTGTAATAAATTTTAAACGCTCACTGTATATTTTTATCATATGTCCTACACAGTGAGGTACTATTTAACTTAGACACTATCATTTATGACTTAGAGGATAAAGTTGGAGAACCTTATATTAAGAGAAAGGAGCTAGGGACTGAACCCCAAGTGTCCCAAGTTCCCACCAAACGCATCACAGTCCTGGGCGCACAGAGCCAATTGCTGGCTCCAGAGGCTGGAAGGTGGGGGACCAGGGGAATCTCGGTCAAAAGACACAAGATTTCAGTTAGAAAGGAGGGATGTGTTCAAAACTGCCCTGCAGAGTTGCTGCAGCCAGCAGGAAGAGAGTGTATATTTGGAGATTGCTAAGAACACAGATTTTAAGTGTTGACCCTGCACGCCCAAAGAGAAGTATCTCAGGTAAGGGACACGCTAGAGGCTGCCCTAGCTATGCCAAAATGCTGAGAAGTATCTAAACATTCTACTGCACATGACCGACAGATTTTACTTGGAAATTGAAACAATTTTTACAATAGGGAAGAATAAGAAGAAGGGATTCTGTTTACCTGGGGTTCGCGTGGGAAAACCCAGGAACTCAGATGGAAAGACCCAAGCATTTCCCCTCCTCTTTGCGGGTTCCGAGTTGCGTTTTGGCATGGTTTTTGATGTTTCATAAGGAGAGAGAGGAGGCATGAAAATACAGCCACAGAACTGCCTTCTGTGGACATTTCAGGCAACGCCTCGTGATGCGTGCAGCTAACCGAGCCCCAGTAGGCGGATGCGACTCTGTTCCGGCTGCCGGTCGCTGCCGGGACTTCAGTTCTCCTCCAGCATTTATCGACAGCGAAGCATTCGTATGTTAACTCTGTGGCTGTCCCCAGAATCAGGAACTCTCTGTGCCGCATCCCATCCCCCCGTGAAATCAGCTTAGAATCTACGAAGTGCATCAAAGGCAGTTTGGAGGGAAATAAGAAAACACAGCAGAAAGTGTGCTAGAGCAACAGAGGAGAGCAAATTCCACTTGTGACGGTTGAGTTAGGTGCAAACTAGATCTACCCCAGCCTCCTGTTCCTTCTACAAATCTTCATTCTTCCGACTATAAGAAGAGTTTTCTTTCAGAAAATGAGACTTCTCCCGAACCCTACAATCGTAGGTAACAGCAGTCAAGTGTATTTCTACTTGTCACTACGCAAGTGTATTTTTACAAAATCAAACTCCTGTTGTGCATACATTTGAATCTTTATTTTTCCACTTCAGGTATGACGATAAGCATTGTATTTAATGATTAAATATTCGGAATGTGGTTTAAGCCTGTGTCCAATAGGGCTGGCTATTAGATTTCACTTTTCGTTTTAAGAAATAGCTTCACATTTTTATTTTGTTTACCCAGGTTAATTTTCCGAGTGGATTTTAAAAATAAAGACTAGAACTAAGGGACAGAACGTTTTCCAAGATCTTGAGTATGCGCCATCATACCGTGATCAGAAAGGTCGTACCCATTTCTTAGGTCAGCCTTACCAGCCATTACCTCCTGGGGTGCGGTGAGCGACAATCAGCGTTGTAGGGCTGCCCTGGGCCTGGAGCCCTGCACGCTTCCCTGCTCCTCCAGAGCTCCTGAGGCGGGGTGGTGCAGGGGCTGCTGTGACCACCGCAGAAGGAAGTGGGTTCTGCTGAGTTTTTAAAATTAATTAATTAATTATTATGTTAAAAATGTATTTGGTACATGGTCTCACTACACAGCTCGGATTCATAGTGATCCTCCTGTCTCAGCCTTCCCAGTGCTGGGATTACAGGCATGTGCCACCACATCGGGTCTCAGTGGCCAGCGCAGCGCGCCCGGGGGCAGGGCCCGCACATCCTGTGGTGCAGGAGATCAAGCCCTGATCCCTGCACTTGCCCAAGCAGGCGGTTAGTCCTCCGAGTTATTTCTCCTGCCATCTGCTGAGTTTTATCAGGAGCCTGGGCACACGTGCTGGTGGAAGGAGCGGCTGCGCCCCCTGCTGGGCGCCTGCGGGACAGCATGTGATGGTGTGACACCACATGCTGCGCTGCGGGGCGCACGCAAGATGCGTGGGTCCGCAGGGACGTAGAACTTGCGCAGCCCCTCAAGGCCTGTCTTCTTCCTCGCAGGGGGCGGGGATGCAGGAAACGAGGGCGATCAGGGGGACTGAAGGGAAGGAGAAAGGCCGCGCAGGAAGTAGCCTGCCTTGCACTGTAGGCACTCAGCCAGTGCAGCGCGGGGGTGGGGGTGGGGGTGGGGGGATGGGGAGGATGGAGGCTCAAGGGTAAAGTGACCATCCGGGACTCGAGCTCCCTGCGGTCCCACTCTGGTTCACCTTTCCGCGCCGCAGCCTGGGTTTCCGGCTGAGCAAGGCCCTGGCCAAGCCGGGGACCCGCGAGCACCGCTCAGGAGCCTGCAGCTGGGCACGGAGCTCTCTTCCAGTCTCTAATCCAACTCAAAGGACGTTAAGAAAACAAACGCAGCCTGCGGCCCCAGGCTCCCACAGGACAAAAGTGGTACCAGGCGGAGCGTAGGGAAGAGCCCCGGGCAGCTCGGAGCTGCCTACGCTGCAAGCTGACCTGTGGGGCGCCGCCCAGCACGCTCCCTGGGCCTTCAGCGGGCCTCGCGGCCCCGGTGTGGACGGCCCCTCGCAGGGCACCTTTGACCTCCTTGTTCCGCAGCGTGTAAATCAACGGGTTGAGCAAGGGGGTGGCGAACGTGTAGACCAGGGCGAGGTGGCGGTCCTGGTCCTCCGAGGTGCTGGAGCGCGGCCGCAGGTAGACCAGGCTGCAGCAGCCGTACTGCAGCAGGACCACCGTGAGGTGCGAGGAGCACGTGGAGAAGGCGCGCCGGCGGCCCTCGGCCGAGCGGATGCGCAGGATGGCGACCGCGATGAACCCGTAGGAGACGCAGATGAGCAGAAAGGGCACGGTCAGCACCAGGATGCCCACGACGTAGAGCACGGCCTGGTGCACGCGGGTGTCCGCACAGGCCAGCCTCAAGACGGGGGGCACGTCGCAGAGGAAGTGGTTGATCTCCCTGCGGCGCCCACAAAAGGGCAGGGAGAAGACCAGGGCGGTGAGCGGCAGGCACAGGGAGACGGCGAGGCCCACGGAGCCCACCACCATCTGCACGCACAGCTTGCGGGTCACGATCAGGACGTAGTGCAGAGGGTGGCAGATGGCCACGTAGCGGTCGTAGGCCATGACGGCCAGGAGGAAGCAGTCAGTCCCGCCTAGGGTGAGGAAGAAGAACATCTGGGCCCCGCAGCCAGCCACGGGAACGGGCTTCTGGGCCCCGAAGATGTTGGACAGCATCGGCGGCACCACCACCGAGGTGTAGCAGATCTCCAGCGAGGACAGGCTGCCCAGGAGGAAGTACATGGGGCTGTGCAGGGCGCTGTGCGTGCTCACCGCCCAGATGATGGCCGCGTTGCCGCACAGGATCAGGAGGTAGAGCAGGAGGAACAGCAGGAACAGCAGCACCTGCAGCTCGGGCGCGGCCGTGAGCACGCGGAACACGAACTCCGTGGGGCCCGACTGGTTGAGCCCGGGGCGCCAGGCCAGCATGCCTGCTGGGGAGCAGGGGAGGAGAGAGACGCTGAGGCTTCGCGCCGAGCAGCGCGTGCTCAGGAACGGCGCGGATTTAAAAGGAGTCTGTAGTGACCCGCTTGGAGTCCAGTTTCAACCACAATGCTTGGGAGCGAGCTCGGGATGGAGGGGCTGGCGGGTGGAACCCGGGGCACCGTCACGAGCAAGCAGGAGGCTCATCTGCGGGACCCTGGGGAGGGGACCTGTGGGTGCTGTTCTAGCACTTTCGATCCAACTAGTACATTGCTGGTGTTTAAAGGCAGTATCCGTTCTATTTCTGCTTTTGTTCTTTCTCAATAAATACATCAGTGCAATGACTGCCAGGCTGGAGGGAGCTGTTCCGGGAGCCTATGAGTGTCCTCCGCTTCTCCCATTAGACTGTGAGCCCGACCGAGTCACTGCTCTATCGCTGCAGGTTGCTTTCCTGCACTTCCGGGTTTGTGTGAGGCCACGAGGCGTGTGGTGAGCTGTGCCCGGCTCCAGCTTCACTCTGCAGAGGGGCTCTTGCTGCTCTGGGAAACGTCACTTCCCTCGTTCGTTGCTTAATGAAAAAGACAGGAAGGAAGTTAGAAAGGTGAAGTAAGGACGAGACCAATGAAGAGTATTATATATATGGGATGAAATAATTCCGGGAAATTAAGCACTGTCAGGGTAAACTGGGGCTTTATGTCACATGAGAAAGTTCAAGGCATAAGATAATGATATCTCATGAATTTTAACAAAAAAAAGCATTGCGAGGGACATCTCCACCAGGCCCTACTGATTTATATTTAATGGTAGCACACAGGATTTCTCAGATTTACAAGGGCTTGGGAAGTGTAGCGTACAAAATACAATCAAAACACACTGCTCCCCATTGGGGCCTGGGGCATTGGGTGGTTAGAGCTCGTAACTGCGGACTGGGAAGTTGCAATGGAGAATAGTAGGCTTTGGATAATCAGGGAGCGTGTACACGTACACTATGTTATATATACTGTGTATGTACTACACATTAGTATATGTATCATCCATACTGGGCATTAAACCATTAATGCAAATACCCTGAAAAGCAGAAAGGAATTGACAAGAATAATTCTTAAAAACATATACAACATAAATTGCAAAAAGAAAAATAGCCGTGCATTTTCACAGTCACCATTTATGTTCTTGTGAAACTGACAGAAGTAGGTAAGAGAAAGGAGAACGTGTGAACGCCCTAAACCTATGTAAAAAAGGATGCAAGACGTATTTCATTTTGATGTGACTAATTTGGGAAATATCTGCTGAGAGATACTTCTAAATCGTCATACATATTATAAAACCCCATGGATTCATTTCAAATAGATTTATTAAAAGCAAATAGAGAGAAGAAACTGCTGGTGGGAAGGAAAGCGAAAGGGATCTCCAAGACAGCACAGCTTGAAGTAAGCTCAGAAAAGTAAATATTTCATTGAGGAAAATAAGTTGAAAGAAGGTTTATATTCCATGAGAGTGCTGTTTTAGGATCTAATCAAGGCATGGGGACAGAAAAAGGCAAAAAGATTGGATTGTTGGATTAAAAAAAAAAAAAAAAAGACCAACAGAACTAACTAAGAAATTAGGAGCAGGAAGATACTCATTGTGTGGATCAGTCCCCTTGGAGTGCAGTCGCGGTCTCTGATCACTGTTCCCTTTCTGTTCCCCGCGCTCTGGGCTCAGAGTGGGGCTCACCCGACACGAGACACCTGGCGCTGCGGTGCACAAGATCCCCCTGCACGCTGTGCCGCGCGGCCGCAGGTCGGCTGCAGCCTCCGAAGCCTGCTTACGCCGCGTGTGTGCCCTTCTGTGGCTGTGCAATTCTAATTACATATGCCAATTTATAATAGGATGCTATTGTAGACACGAGTACATTTAATGAAAACTGATCATTGAATGGTTGAGAAAATCTTGACGATCTAAGTATTTAGCATTGTTGTGGCAGCAGAATCAAGGCTTAGGGAGAAGTAAGAAAGGAGGAAATGATTCAAAGTTGGAGTTTGTATTTGGCATTCGTTTACTTGCCATTTTATACTTTGCCAGCCTGAGATTAATGCATGATGTGTGAAAGAAGGCTTTCATTTCTTTTCATGTAAAATCCAAGCAGATACCTTGGCAACATACTGAAAAGTTGGTGAATAAATGTCCCATTGTGTGACTTAAGCTAAGGCAAAAGGAAAGGACGATGTGTACTTTAGGCTTTGGAGCCTAATTTTATTTATTTCTTCTTCGTCTTTTTCAAAACATTATACCAGTTAGAAAATGTTCTTCTCTCCAAAGAACAAGGGAACAAACAAGAAAAAAGACAAAAGAATGTTAAGAAGAGAGGGCCACAACAGAGCAACACATTTACGAGAGGTAAAAAATACATACAAGGAATTGTAGGTTACAGAATACATTGCGTCATTATCCAAATGCAATTAGTACAGCACCTGGAACCCGGCCCAGTAGGACAGAGGGGATCACAATGACAGCCAATTGTTCCGCTGGGCCTCTGTGCGGTATGTTGTTCTGTGCATGGTACACTTCAGAACTCATTTCGTAACGACCCTCTCTGGAAGTGCTCTTATGTTGGTATTATGTAGGTCGAAACTGAGGCACAGAGAGATTAAACATTGTGCCCGGTGTCACATGAGTGTACGCAGGAGTGCGGATTTCAGGGCAGGCAGCTTGGAGCTGCACTCTCTCAATCAGTTATGATGTCCCCCTATCTGTCGTATTCATCTGACCTATCATCTGCAAAACAGAGCAGCTAACACAGCTGCCTCCCTCTTCATGCGGCGCTGAGTCTTACCTGAGTTACTCTGAAAGGACCCCAAGTAGCTCTGGCACCGGCGCGCCTTCAATACGCAAGATCTGTCATCACTATTTAAAATCAATTAGGAAAAGTCTCTTTGCTGCCACATTAAGACAATGCAACAGTCACGGCGAAGTCAGTTCCCTCCTGCTGCTGCTGCAGTTTATCTCTGAATGACCTACAGCCCAAACATTTAAAGAAGTGCAGCAAAACTGAATACAATAGACAGAAATTGTTCGTGTCTCAAGATACAGAAACCTTTATAAGCAAATGATCAAAACATAAAGTCTATGAAAATATTGGTAAAAATATAAAACTTCTGTAGGTAAAGAAACACAATGAACAGAATAGTAAGTGAACATTTACAGTTGGCAAAAAAAAATAAGGCTATCATCAGAAAAACAAATAATAAATTTTCAAAAGAGAAGTATGTAAAAGGAAACAAATACATAAAATCTAATTTCTTTGGTAGTCAAATATTTATTCAACCAACAGACAATATTAATTTTTGTTTCCCAAATTTTGGATCAGAGATAACTTTTGGTATAAATTTGCAAGGACAGATACATCCTCAAGTATCCAAGTGGAAGTATAAATTACTATAAAATTTGTGGGGTGCAATTGATAATGGGTAATGTGAAGACATGCATGTACTTTGATTCAGCAATGTTGCTTTCAGGAATTTATTCTCAGAAAGTGCTTATATGTGTAAACTTAGCAACAGGATATTCATCGCAGTGCAGTGACAAAGTGGCACCTACCTATGTGGCCATAGCACAGGTTGGGAGCTCTGCAGGTAGTGGCCTGTGAGACCATCTAAGGAGGACCTTGCAGAAAAAGACTTAAGAAGATTGGGAAAGCTCATGAAAAATTAAACTGCAAAACATTATATACAGATGCCATTTAAAATTGTATTTATTCGTAATAGAGCAAATTGGTTCCATTACTTAATTCCATTCATGTATTCACTTAGGTAAAGCAGTCTGGGCTCAGCAGAGGGGGAGCGCTGACCACTGCACCGCATTGCCCCGGTTCGGGGGTGAGAGGTTCATTGCCCCTGACACTCCTTGAGCAATGTGATCTGGGCGCGCTGTTCATCTCGCACCTACACAGCCTGGTACAAACGAGCGTTCCATTCCAAATCTGCATTTTCTGCTAGGGTGTGATGTGGAAGACTGAGGCTTCGCTTCCCTCGCACCCCGCAGCCCCTGGACCCGTCATCTGGACTCACCGTTCCCAGGGCCCCACTCCTCTTCCCCAAGACGGTCTCAAGGCTCTTCCCAGCCCTGCTGTCCTCACTCTTCACAGATCATGTCCGGTTTCTGGGTGACCGCTTGGCTTCCTTGAGGAGCAGGTGCTCAGGGCCCTCGACTCTGCTGACAAATACTTACCAGCGTTACGAACAAGGCCCAGGACGTCAGCCTTCTCCACTCCCACGTCTCACCATGCCTTGGGTTATTTGAACTAAACTGACCTGGCAGTCACACGTACTATCCTTGCAAGGCCAACCCGTGCTCACTGGCCTCCTCCACTCCCCCATGGTGCTACAATTACTTTCGCCAGGCATGGCGTTGAGGTCTTCTGTGTCCAACGGTTACTCGCTTATACTCACATGCTACGTGCAGATAAAGGCGAATGTGGGTGAGACAGAAGCTGATCAGTGCATGGTGGGAAGCATCGCAAAGAAACTACCGGTCAGCATGCCGAAGCAATAAACTGGATGGTGCTGGGAAATGCTCTGCGCAGGCCTCCCTCCGTGGCTGAGAAGGGGCGTCGCAGTGGGTAATATAGGCAGAGGTTCAGTTCTTGGACACTGTATTTTAAAAGAGAAACACTCATGAAAATGTGAGAAAGTGATGGGATTATAGAAAAGCCCAGGGATATAGGTCAAGTATATGCCTATTGATAAAATATGTAAATACACATTTGAATATCTACATGCTGGCATTATAAGGGAATGTAAGGAAGCCTAGTAGTATCTCTCCACAACCTATGGGCAAAACCCAATATTTTGGAAAGAAACCCTTCTCCAGGGGCATGTGGTAGTTCTCGGCTTACCTGAGGCCTGATCCCACACACTAGTTAGGGGACAGTGGCACCACTACTGGTTGTCGGTGGTCTCCTTTTTCATTTGCTTTGCAGCTGAGCCACTTAGTCCAGAGAGGGCGAGAGCCAGGCAGAAAGAATG